TTGATTCCCGAAAAGTTGGACGTGGTGCAAACCATGCATCGCTCGAGCGATAGCAACCGAATCGCAATCTGTTATGTGATAAGGAATATCCTCAAGCTTATTCAACTCATCATCTCTGAATCTGTACCATCGGGCATTCATTTTGAATGATTTCAAAAGCTCCTCTAACAGAGGAAGATTTGGAGCCACTTTACTCAATCCCTCATCTGATAAGTCCCGGCAACACACGAGTCGCAAGCGTCTGATGCCACGACAACTATTGAAATTTTTTAGATTAGTTAGTTACTTAGACGCACAAAAACAGTACACCTAAAAATTCTACATCGACATATTTAGTCAAAGAAATTTCAACATTTTTGTATCAGATTCAGATGTCACCTAAAATGGTATAAAAATGTGGTATAAAAATATGGTATGAATAACATTACTCAAACTCAAATGCAATTTTATGATTTTCTGCCAAACAAAATATAAAGTGCTTTTTCCAAAAGCAATTCCAGTCCACCAGTAAAAGTCTTTATTATTTATTTATATTTGGATTAATGCAAGTAAATTATGGATCCAGGTTGAACAACTCAGTAAATACGCCTTTCAAAAACTTGGGAAATTACCATAGCAAAACATATATCTCACATTCGACCCCAAAAATATAAAAAATAAAAAACATATATCTCACCAACCAAACATTTAACAAGCAACGAATATTAATAAAATACCTATCAGTGATATGCTTAAGGAGAGCATCGGTGCCGAAGTGTTCGACATTGATATAGACCAGAGTACCGCAGCTGCGATCAACGGCAAGGTGGCACATCTTCTCCAAGTTGTACGGCATCTCATCGAGATCACCGTCATTGTGCATGTCGATGGTGCGCCACATGAGAGGCTGGTTCTTGCAGATGTTGCGCCAAGCCCCTCTGAACGCTCTCCAAATCTCGATAGCTCCCAGTCGAGACAGTATCAAAACGGTGACGTCCTGTGGAAGTTCCAACCAGTTCCGCGTTTTGCCTCCGGTGGTTCTGGATTTGGATTTAAAATTAAGGCGGAGGATTTTCTTGTTCCTTCTCTTGCCCATCAGGTTTTTCTGCTGTTTTGGTTGCTAGTAAAGTTTTCATGGAGTAGGATTCTCTCCTCTCGTAATCTTTCTTTCTTTCCATCCCTTCTATTTAAACGGTTGCGATTACGAAAGATTACGACACGTCTAGTTTTGAATTTTTTATATAGAAAATAAAACAAAAAAAAAAAGTATAAGAGGAGAGGATGGAAGGGAATGGGAATAGAAGGGAGAGAATCCTACTCCTAATTTCATATCTTCATAGCAGATAGTGTCGAAAAGCAGTTTCAGAAGGTAGACGACAAAATGTCACCAACGGTCTTATATTCAGAAGGACTAATATTCAAAACTTTTGTAAATTAATCAGGATCTCGTTTTTTTTTTTTTGAATTAATTGTGCAATGGACCTTCAACTTTATTCCAAGTTTAATTTTGTTATCTAAACTTTTATATTAGCTTAGAAAGTTTCAAAATAGGGGAATTCTAGTGAAAAAATTTCCGGATTTGCGTAGTATGTGAAAACAAATTTTTAAATACTGTTTTATTGTTGAATGTAAGTTGTTTTGGCAGCCTTGGGGTTTCGAAGACAAGACCAGAAAAGGGTTTAAGTTTTACAACGGCTAGTTTTGTTTGAGTTATAACTGCTAGTTTTTGGACAAGTGTAGCATGTAGAATTCTAGTCACTTAGAACAAGTGTAAGGCTAGGATAAGAACAAGTGAAGGGCTGAGATTAACAAATTCAGCTGTTGCCTCCGAGGTAGTGTACCTCTGCAATTCTTGCAGATAAGAATTTTTGTCCAACGACATGTTTCTATGAATGAAATAAAAGTAAAGCAGCAATGTTTTGCTCACTGAAATTCTAGCCAAAATTTCCTTGTTTTGTTTTTGTCCTGCACACAGCTTCTGTCTAAAAAAGCCAAACTTAAACATTTATTTTTTTCCTGGAAAGTTTCAAAATATGCTAAGTGTTACAAGTATTTTAGCTGTTAGATTTGATTTATTCAAATGTTTAAATTTTTTATTTTCAATCTCAGTCATTCATTCCCGTATCATTCAATACTACGTAGTATTGAAGAAATTTCCCTAGTGTTGATCAAACTCAAAGTTAGGATTACGGTTAAGCAATATGAGGCTCCGACTTGTATTTGCGCCGAACCCTAACTTTATTTAAACGAAAGATATCTTATAAGTATACTTTTTGTGTATTTGTGATTAGGTACACTGTTCTGTGGATCTGTTTTGCCAAAAGAAGAGGTAGAATACAAATTGTGGCGTTAATGGTGTTCAACTTCACATGTATGGGATGTGATTGGGAGATATGATTCCATTATTGGTCAAGAAGGCACGACTAGGGTAGAGATATGGTAACATGCTTTTGGGTGGACTCTTTTTTAATTATTATTATTTTATTTTATTAGGGAATTATTATTATTATTATTATTATTCATATTCTCCCCCTTCCTCGCTAAACCACAAAATACGTCAGTTATAATTAAGTATCAAACTCATTATTCATATGATTTAAAACTAATCCATATTACTTACAAGTAGAAAGAAGTATCACTAAAGATTGTAATGTTAATTACAATCTGTTTGGGTTCTGTTCATTTTTCTAGTTTTTAGTTTTTTCTGCATGCAAATTAGCCAGAGAGAGGAGGAGGAGGAGGAGGAGGAGAGGGGGGGGGGGAGCTGATTCTCGTTTATGCAGGTGCAAACAATAACAAAAGGAAAACTAATTAACTTGACTGCATGGGAAGTGGGAACTACTCCACCCATTTTTTGTGTGATGAGAAGTCAAAGCATCCAATAGCCAAAGAAAATGTCAAACCGTCACCGATAATTCCGCATGATTTACAACCAAGAACCAACAATTCTCCCAACGAGCCAATACCAACGAATCGTATCGAATAATAATATTACAGACAGCTTTTGAGGAACGTCAAACAAACAGAAGAAGGAAGGTTTTGTTTTCCAACAGCTAGAGAGGAGAGAGAGTGCAAAAGCAGTCTCTCTTTTTGGATCTCTCGAAATACTTTATGTTGTTAGTAAATTATTAGGGCATAATTTTAATCAAAACAAACACTAAAAAACCTTTTGATTAATTAATTAATCACTTCTTCTGTTTGATCTTTGATATATCCTCCATTGTATCATATAGATTCATACTTACATCTTCTATAGTCTGTAGCTCCATTCCGTTCCCCCTGAGGATCGAAGGATCGGTTTTTATCGTGTTTATCTGGTTGAATATGAACCCGATTCGAGCATTTTCATCTCCTGCAGTGTTGCCAGCTTCTTCCACAGCTTCTAAAGAACGCCTAGAAGATCATAGTTTTGATGGTAATCTATACATACATATACATTATATATATAATTATATGTATGTATGTTTATGTAGAAGATTGTTGCTGAAGAAATCTTAATTTTTCAATGCTTGTATTTTATAATCATGAAAACTAAATCACTGCAAAATGACTTGTATTGTGTGTTTTTCTAATTTCTGAATTAAGACAACAATTTTTCCTATCTCATTCTTTTGTGAAAAAAATCACAATAAATTTTTTGGAAAAAGGATGCAATATGTACTGATTTCTGTGTAATTTTTTGTTCTTTGGTTAGGCATTGCCACCAATGTGAAGTTATTATTAAAGCTAATCCAAGAGCAAAACGAGGCCTGCACAAAAGATAATGATGACAGGAAGATGCAAAGGGTGGCGGGAATGATGACGATAATTGATGATGTTAAAACCCGGATTCAGAAATCTCAAACCGTTAAGAGGAGAGCAGAGCTCCGGCGATGCAATACAGATCTTAGGCCAAATGTTCCGAGGGACAAAAGGCCTCCGGAGCCAGTAATTGATGAGAAAGAAAGGTTGAGAAGACAGCTTAGCGCGAGCTTGGCAGCGCGAAAGAGCCTAGAAATAATGTGTTCAGGCTTGGGAAAGGAGAAGGAGATTATTGCATCGGAGCTTGCGAGAAAGGTTCAAGAATTGACTGGGATGGAGGAACATATCAACGATCTTCGAGCGCAAAATGAGATGTTGTTGGCAAAAGTACAAGCTTGTGCAGCAGAGCACAAGGAGAAGAGGTGTGCCGGTGGTGGTGTAGAGATTCATGGGAATGCAGCACTCCAGGAGCGAAACAAGGCACTTTCCGAGCAACTTCTTAAGTCCCTTGATGGGTGTAGATCCTTAAAGAGAAAGATCAAAGACGCACAAAAGGAAAACAATGGGATGCACTCGACCATGGAGGAGATGGGGGTGGAAGTTCAAGGAGGCCTAGAACTAATACGCGCACTCAAGCAAAAGATTGCCACAAGCAATGAACAAGCAGCAGATATCGAAGAGGAGATCTCAGCATTGGAGCATCTGTTTGAGAGCTTCAGTATGAAGATTTTGAAGCATGGGTCGAAGAAAGGTGAAAGTGCAAAAAACAACACTGAGATCGACACTACCTAATTCGCCTCCTGTTGCGTGAGAACAAAGGGTGACTAGAAACCAGAAATGCCTGGTCTCTCTACTTTTGCAGTTTTGTCAGTCTGTCTTTTGGTTGCCAAGACACGAAAACAACTAAAATTCTTTGAGTTTATATAATAAACGAGGGAAGCAGTTGTAATGTGTCAGAAGTAGAAGTGATTTAGTGATGTTGCATATTTGTTGTTCATGTGCAATTGACTAGTTCAGGTTTCTAGGTTGCATCTACCATGGCCCGAAGAGTTGTATAATTCTGAGTTTTCTTCTCGTTTTGTTGTTCATCCTGGATAACAATAGTTGATAATGAAGATATGTATATTTGAATCTGTGTGGAATCGCTTATTAATTTTAATTCTCGCATTCTTTTGTGAAGCAGAGCTTCGGTAACTAGTCAGCAGCTGCATCACACAATTTAACTGCTCAGCACAGATTTGATTCAAGCAATTCCCAAAACTTGGAGTTGTACATTGAAAGGAATAAAAACCACAATTGATTGGAAGCAACGAAGAATTACGTAATCATTTATGTTTACGGTTTTGAAATAAGAAACTGGATCTGGAGAAGTTATAAACATATACACGACTTCTGCAGTATGTATACTATTTGGAATCAGAGAGATTTTGTAACTTGCAGGCAGCAATGGAGTTCAATACCCATGAGTTGCTTGCTACCTTGGCTCCAGCGGAGGTGGCCAAAGCCTTCGCATCAGCCTGCCTAGTGTTGAAAATTGTACTCTTCTTGCTGCAGTGATATTGGTCAGGTAGCTCGAGGCTGTAAATTATGAAGGTTTGACATTTGGGGGAACCGACTGACAAGGCTCTCGGGCCCTCTGGAACAGGTTTTCTTTGCAAAATCGTTCCTCCAGCAACTATTACAAGGTCTTGTAAATACCCCTTGTATGAAGGTATGAAGTTTCCCATGAAGTAAAACTTGAACCCCTCAAAAAGCTTTGGTTGCTGCATCCAAAAATAGTTTGTTAAAATTAAGTGTAACCTATTTATGTACTGAACAAGATTAACAATGCATATGGTGAATCCATGAAAATTTAAAGTTTTCGTGATGATAGTTAAAGTCGAGGATAAGCTAACCTTGTTCTTCAGCCTTAGTCTACCAAGTCGAGGACCATCCCTGATTCCATAAATGTCAACGTTGATTTCATAAGGCTCCTCATCAACTAGTTTCATTGCTTCTGTGCAAGCATTAATCCCTGCACAAACAGACGGACAACGAATTATCAGTAATGTGAACATGTATATCAATATCTCATTTCGGCTTCTGTACTCCATTACAATTTTAAAGTCCAAGTACTTGAGGGAGAACATTTAAAACAGAAACAGTAATACTCACACTCCACACTCAGAATCCACTTCCCCTCCAAGATACCCATCAAAACTTTGAGGGTTCTTCTGCATGCTCCATTTTCATCTGTCGATGCAATAATATGTGTAACACTAGAATCCCAATTCTTCAAAACCGTAAGTCCAGATAAACTTTCAAATCCAGAGACAGACTCCTGCAGTTCAAACCAGCAGGATTAGTGAAATAATTTAGAACATTTTGATTTTGAAAAGGGAAAAAAATGAAAAAAAAGGAACAAAGGAAGCGCTCTAAGCAGCTCTTTTACCCTCTCTGCATTTGTGAGAGATGAACAACAAAGAATCAATTTCTTGGATGATCCACAAAACTTCTGATCTGGGGGGATATTGCTGTCTTGTTTAGCAGCAACTTTAGGACGTTCAATATTAGGTTGTCTATATTGACAAAAAGAAAATATTAGGTTGTCTATAATAGAGAAAGAAAGAGGCACAAATGAGAATCTTAGAAAATCTGAGTTTGCATGCTGGTAAACTTTAGATATTCGAGGAAAAGTTGTACATACTTTCTAGGATTGCTCTTTTTCCTCGTTGCTTGAGATCCAGGGCTTTCATTTGGCAACTTGGAGGAGGCATGAATGGGGCATAACATAACAAATTTATCCTGATCAACACAATTGGGAATTAGAATACAGCATGGAAAATGAAAACATTAAATAGAAATAGCACTTCTTTTTGTTATACATACAGTATCCCAGCGACATTGAGGCATCAGCTTTGCACAGGTAACATGAAAGCTCCTACGACAACTCTTCTCGCAGCACCCAAGAGCAGCTCCTTTGATTGCGCAGCAAGAACATTTAATTTTACAACTCCTAGTTAATTCAGCTTCAAGATTAATAGCAATATCATCTTCAAAATAGACATTAGGAGCCCTGCACATATTTTTGAGCATTTATAAGATGTCAGTATCTACAGAAAAGCTTGTGTAAAAAAATTTGTTTCAGTCCTGAAATTTATTCGGTTAAACACAAGATTAATTATAAACATAAGCATGTTTTTGGCTAATTTTGTAGAATATCTTTTTTTTCTTTGTACCATTCAGTGCAGGTCCTGTGTACATGTATAACCTTGAGTCCTCCATCATGATCCGCAGCAACAGGCTTGCCATTACAATAGTGGACTATCTCTCCAGAAGCCTGTAATTAGAATTTCGATGGTAACAAATGTCAGCTTCGAATTGTAAAGATAAATTTTATGTGCAGATGAGTAGCGTTTCTAAATTATGAGTCATCCAAAAGGATATAAAGGGAAGGGAGTGAGGAAGACCTCTGCTTCTTCTGATGAAAGACAGAAAGCACACTGGATTTTACTAGGAACAGCCTCACATCTCTTCAAAACCACATTGGTAAATGAAAGAAGCTTCTGCACTGGTGATTGATCAGTTATAACATCACGATTGTCCTTGCTCTTCTCAGCTGTTTCATTTCCATTTTCGTTAACATTCCCATGACCTTCTCCAATCTCAACAGAAGTATCGTCCTTTGAGTTGCCATCAGAAGAAGCTTTCAGCTTTTTCTTACTTTTCAGTTCTTGATCACCTGACTTGGCTTTTCTAGCAAGTTTTCTGGATTTATTTCTGGATTCAGAGGCTTTCTGGTTATCATCTGTGGGAAGATTTGTAGGAGACAACTCAGTAGGAGTAACCTTATTTGCTTGCTTCTGTATTTCTGATACATCCTCAAGCATTGTCTTTTTCATGGAGACCATCTTTTGTATTTTTAACCTTACTGGCCGGTCAATCTTGTTCTTGTCACTGACCTCCTTATAGATATTTCCAGCCTTCTTACTGGACGGTTCATCACTGCCAGCATTTTTTCCTATTGAAGTAGGTGATTCAGTTACCCTATTTTCATCACCATTAATTCGACTATCAGCTCTGGTAGAGAGGACATGAACATTTTCAGATGTGGGCTTGGCTACAACAGATGAATGTTCCTTCTTACTCCTTTTGTGAGTCTTAGCTAAAGAACCACCGTTATTCTCACATGCTGGTTCTTCATAAAATACCTCAGATCCCTTTGAAGTGACATTAATATCTGTTCCTGGATCTGTATGGCTTGTAGCACATTTTCTTTTCGTGAGATTCCTTGCCTTCCTACCTCGCTTGTCAGATTCATTACTAACAACTTCATGACTAACATCTTTAGTTCCAGCAGTGGGAAGCTCTGGCAGAAAATCCATATTTCCACTACTTTTTTTGTTTCTTTTAGACCTTGCACTTTTAGCATAAAGTTCATCTGATTTCTTGTTTTGTGAGACTTCTTTTGGTTCCTTCCCTTGAACTCTATCAAGTTCATCGTCTGCAAGCTGCATTTCAATTTCTTTAGATTTTTTGTGCAAATTTGGAGGACTAGACAATAATAGAATTTGTAGAAGGGAGAATTACATATGAAGTAAAAACGAGCTGATACCTGCATCTCAGAAGGACTTGGGAAGAGTTCAGGAGAGCAAGCTCTTTGTGTCCATTCAAACATCTCACTATCATATAGATCTGCAGCATTAGAAGATGTGCCGTGCACTTCTCCCTACATGAGATTATCAACAATTAAGATAGCTTTATGGCATCATCTAAATAAATTATATACATTTTTTGAATTGCCTGATGAGTGAAATGATATAAACTTGCATTCATTTCAATGGTATAAAACAGTTTATACACTTACCAGTGGGGACCTAACAGAATTTTCATCATCAGAGTCTTTGATATCACTGAATGTGGGAACATTTGGAGATGGAAGATCACTAAGTTGATCACCGGAAGAATGCTGACTCAAATTTTCTACATCTTTGTCATTCAACCAAAAGAAAGGTGACAGAACCAGTTCTCCCTTCTCATTTAGAACAGGCTTCTCCTTCAGTGTTTTTGAACTCTGCTTCGCTCGATCAGCCATTAAATCACCTTCTAGCTTTTCATGGCAGGTTGGGGTTTCTGAAAGAGGAGACTGTGGAACCTGGACCCTTTTCTTGTTTGGAAATGAAGGTTTAATTGAAATAGAACCAGAACTTTCCAGGCTGGCCTTATTTTTCCTGGATCTTTTTCCTCTTAAGGTTTTCTGTTTCTGAGCTCTATCCTGAAACTCAGGAAGATCTTGCTCGCCGTGGCTAAAATCATCTTCAGCGTGATGTTTTCCTTCTGTAATAAATAAAAGCAAATCAAATGGAAACAAAAAAAGTGCACAAGTCAAACTATAGTATATGTAAAACCGAAAAACTAAAAACCACCTAGAAGGCTAGAAGTGTATCTTAACATGATTGACGTGCTATATACTGAAAATTGAGAAACTTCAGGTATGATAGGATATAATCAAATTGTGCAAATGATGTCAATATCTTGCACTCTACTGACAAAAGTAAAATAATTCCAGACTGATGCATCCACAATGTATCGGCTCAACTCAACACAACAGTAACGTTGTGTTGCATCCTATCTCCTCCATTATTTTACGAAAATAAAAGTTAGAACATTTGAACACATTTTAGGAATTAACAATTGCACTATGAACAGCAGGAACAAAACTGAAATCCCAGTAACTACAATGCTGGTATTGATACTTTGATTACACTAAACCTGTATGCAAATTGCAAATGAAACTATTGCATATCTGTTGTTTTAAATAGTACTCATAAATTTTATACTGCAACGTAACATTCTCAAATGCATGTACATAAATAGTACCTGATGATTTAGTTGGGGGTGCATTCTGAGTGACAAATATATTAATTCCCAAATCATCTTCCATGCTCTTGTAAATACTAACCAAATTATCCATGTGAGGAGCCGGGCGAACCTCTAAAACAAAAATTAAAGGTAAGAATAATGGGTTTCACATAAAACAATAGTACCTTCAAACTCTTCGGCACAAAAATAAAAGCATCATGATTTATACCTCTACGCCGATATGGGATTTTACAAACAGGACAATTGGAACCCGATTTCATCGACTTCACAATGCAAGAGCTGTAAACAATAAGCAAACACTGGCAATACGTTCAAGCACATTGCAACTATTAATACAGCCAAATAAAACCTAATATTTACATTCAGGTAGCAATGAAGGAGGAGGTTACTTGCAGAAGAGATGATTGCAATTGAGTGAAACCGCAGAACTCAGTAGACTCAAACTGCAAAACAGATGGGGAAAAATCGAACCCATTAGCGGAGTGAAGAGAAATATCAAGTCTTTATACAAATTCTAGACAAAATTATGTAAAGGGTCAGTTTGGCTGCCGAGAAATTACCATAGTTTAGAAATTACCGCATTTCTAATACCATAATTTGGGATTATTCAGATGGGTCTTTTGCATTTCACGTATAACAAGAACAAAAAGAAAGCGAAGGACACAAAACTGGTTTTCTTTATCTATGTTATTTTCCATAATTTTCCATCAAATAAACAAATCTTAACACATATAATCGGAGTATTTGGGTATAGAGCGAGAGAGATACCAAATGGGGCACTTGAGTTCTCTGCCCATCTTCTCGAGGTGGGGCGGAGGAGTCTCCATTTTCCTTTGCTGTTTGCTTTGATCAGAGAGATTGGTTGAACGCAGCAGCAGATCTAGAAGAAGACGATGACGGAGAGTTTTGGCGAATGTTTGTTTGCCTTTGAATATGTTGGGGAAGATGAAGCTTCGTTTTGAAGCTTCGGCGTTTGAAATTAAGCCGCCAAAATCTCCCGAGCTTACGCGCTTCGTCTTCGCACTTTGGCGGTTTTTTCAAAATTTTCGACTCTGGAGCTTGTTTGGATTAACGGATTGGAATGCACTATTTCCTCTCTTCTTTTTTATCTTGACCATCAATTTTACTTTTATTGTTCAATCTAACGGTCATGAAACTAGAAAGGTGTGTTTGAGATGAAAAAGGTGTGCGAAAAGCACTACTCATAAAAGCCTATACCATTTTCTTATACAAATTGTTGTATCATTATTTAATATAATTTTTTTTATTATAAACGAAATTTACACTGATCTAAACTAGAAAGAGAAAGTAAAATTTAAACTTCAAACATAATGTGTTAAAGAAGAAGACTCTAACCAGCACTTGCATAAACTTTCTTTTTATAGGCATTGCCAAAAGAAATTTCATCAGTTTTAAACAGTTATATATGCCAAAGAAAAACCATATAGGAAGAATATTAACAATTTAGCATAAACTTCATCATCAAAGGCGATTGCTATTATTAATTAAGGGGAAGGGGAGTTTCGAACTCAAGTTGCAGGGCAAAAACACAACACTCTATCTACTAAAATATTGGACCACATACAAAACTAATGTCATAAAAAGACTGCTACCAAAAAGCACACTAGAAAGCATCCGTTGTTTTCCAGGATTGATAGTTTTCCCACGCACCACAGATTGGCAGCAAATGTCTGCAAAGTCCAGGCAAAAAGCGTCCAAACTTTGCATGTCAAATGCAAATCTTCAGTGGCAGCTTCATCCATCCCTTGCCGTGCGGCTCGTGCCACACCTCTTTATCGTTCAAGGTTGACAAATATGAAACAACTTGCTGCAGATGTTACCAGTAATCTCCACAAGAACAAGAACCATCTCTAAAGTGGTGAAACCGACTACGATCCCTCACAACAATCTCCCGGTCATAAACCTGCGATATGAGTTTAATTGCAAGATGACAATCTGCGCAAACTCTCAAATTCTTCCAAATCCACAACTAAAGCAGTCCGAGAAACCACACACCTTTCATCCATCGCTTCAAACACCTTCTGCGCCTCTCTAATGCTTCCACACTTTGCATAAAGATCCAGCAGCGCATTCATAGCATGCAAATTCTCCGTCAATCCCACCTTCAACATATACACATGGATCCTCCTACCCAAAGCCAAAGTCCCAATCTCAGAACAAGCAGACAACAAGCTAACCATGGTGAACCCATCCGGCTCCACACCCTCCAAACCCATATCTCTGAAAACAGTCAAAGCCTCGTTCGGTCTCCCGTTTAAAGCAAACCCGTTAATCACAGAATTCCAAGCCACAAGGTCTCTCTCAGACATTGATTCAAACACCTTGTGTGCACTCTAGACGTCCTCGCAACTAGCATACACATGAAGCAATGCATTCTTAACAAACACCAATGACTCAAACCCATTTCTAATAACAACAGAATGTATCCTCTCACCCTCTCTAACATCCATCAACTTAGCCACAGCCTTCAACAGAATAGGGTAAGTGTGAGTGTGTCAGGGTGCACAGAACTTTGATTCATTTGGTGGTAAAGTTGGATGACAGGAGGTCGGTTCTGACTCTCAGCATAGCCTCTGATCAAATTGTTCCATGTGAACACATTGGGATTTTTTATTTGGGAAAATATTTGGTGGGCATAGGAAATTGGTGCAGAGAGAGAGACTGTGGAGAAGATGAGGTGCTTGCCCATGTCTGGGTTGCTGAGTGGGAGTCCATGCCTTATGGAGAAGGCATGGATTTGCTGCAGTTTGGACTTGGAGGATGCACAGCATTGCAGGAGAGCAATGCATTTTTGGAGAAGGTGGGCAATTGGGGCTTGTGGGGAAGTTTGTGAGGAGGGCGGAAAGGAAAAGATGTGAGATTTGGGGTTGTTAGTTAAGGTTGTTGAGAACTTATGTGCAAAAGTTGGGTGGATGAGTGTGGAATGCTTAGGGAGCATTAAATCATGTTTGTGTAAGAAAAAATGGGGTTCCTATGGCTTCAAATGATAAGTAGAACCCAACTCCTCCTTATTCTAATTAGTACGTGGAGAGATTATTCAGGAGAACTTTCAATGGGATGTCTGATTAGGACAATTCTCGTATTGGGTGAAAGTAGCTTCGTGGTTGATACAAAAATACTTGAGGTACCATATTTATACTTAATAGAATCTTTTTATGTAAGACATTTCTTCACATTCTCACAATCCGTACCCTCACTCAATTCATTATTCATGTCACTTGAAACAAGCTTCACGTCCAAAGAGACCATTACTATACTTATAAGAGCAACTCCACCCCTAAAGACTTTGCAGCCAGCACCTAGCCCATTTATCCACTTCAGTGAACAGTAATAGACCCTAATGAACAGTAATAGGTCAAAGCATCTCCATCCCAAAAAAAATGTGCTGGCACCCAATCTAAAAATACGCTGGCACAAACGATCTCCACCCCTACAAAATGCGCTGGCACCCAGTCCATTTAAAATATTAAATATTTTTTTTATAAAATAATAAATAAATAAAATAGTTTTAGAAAGTGTAGAAAATATTGAAATGTGGTGTAAGGTGGAAGATGAGGATTAGGTATTTATAGAAAAAAAATTAATATTTTAAATTTTTTCTGTATTTTTTAAAAAAATTTCACAATTTTTAATTAATTTTTAATAAATTTTAATGTTGTAATTAATCTGGACCGTTGGATTTGAAAAATAATCAAATCCAACAGCCAACCAGCTGCCACGTGGCTAACGGTCAAATTTCTGACCGTTGGGCTTTTTTTTTTTTTTTTGGGTGAAAAAAAGGTGGACCGTTGATCTGTGATCAAACGGTCCAATTTAAAAGTCAGATTTAAATTTTTTTTACCGTTGGAAATCCAACGACCTACAAAAACTAGCCGTTGGAAATCCAACGACTCTGAGGAGGGCCATGTAGCCCTCAGCCGGGTATATGCAAGTGGCCTGAGAAGCGGGCCCCACCGCCTGCAATGGTTGTCGGCTACTCGCGCCCAGTCGCGAGTGTTGTGCACGCGCCAGCCTTTTGGATCAGCTTCTGGGTCTGTCCGAAATGGGTTGAGCTGCTGCCTGGCTTAGGCTGGGCGCCAGACTGTTTTGCGGGCTGGAGGTGATGGACAGGTGCCGGGCTGTTTTTTTCACTTGGTGCCGGTCCAAATGGTGAGGGCTGGAACTGCTCTAATCACGTCATATAAGTGAAACATTATATTCCCTCGGTCGTACTCATTAAAAATTGCCTTGGATTAAAACCATGGCTTCATGGAGAACTGCATGTCCACAATATTCGGGCAAAGTGGAATATCAAAGTGCTGCGACAAAACTGCATTTGTCAAAACTATGTGACTGATCATTACCAAAGCTTATTGGCGATGTTCATATGGAAGAAGAAGCTATAAGTACAGACAGCTCACTCATGACTGCACTCCGATCTCGAGCTACTTGCATCAAACGAATGAGCGAAGAAGATGAAGAAAAGAGTGACGGTGATCGTGAAAGTTTAATCAAAAAACTCCCATTTAGCTGTGGTTGGAGGAGGCTCGAAAGTCGCCCACTTGGTTGTCACAACAACAGGCTTTACCTTTGCATTTGATATCTTCAGCATATCCAGACTTTCAACACATTGCTGCACCCCCTTGCCCTGGAAAAAGCAACTTCGAATTGGAGTTCCGTTTTGGATTAAAGCCCTTATAAACTACTACAACGAGGCGGCACACTGCCTGGCCAACTGACCTAACCAACATATGCGGTTAAAGCCTTGAATACATGATCGCTGAAGATATATTATCACGTGCAATTTCTTTTTAGCAGAAGCATCTCCTTCTGCAGAAATGTTGTCCAGCTTGATTGCTTGTCTCATGAGCATCTCAATTAGTGTGGTTATCTGAAGTTCTGGTACTTTGACACCATTATTTAATATGGATTTTTCTATTGCCGAGACCAGTGAAAGCGAAAATTAATTAATTAATATTCATATAGTTGATTATCTAACAATTTTTCATGGTTAAAACGTACGCATGCATGGGAAAAACACATCTATGGTGCTCTAGAATATACTTGGAATTTTCAGTCGTTAGATCTTAAATTTTATGTTTTGATCAAAGATCTAACGGTTAAAAAGTTCAGAGTATTTAATACTTCAGAAGACGATAGACAATCCAGCATATGAATCCTTAGAGATATGCAATATGAGAAAAGCTTCTAGATTCTGAGTTAAGGGATGTAGGAAATCAATCGATCAGTTTTCTCACATCCCACAAACGAAATCCTATAAATGTAAACCATGGCATTTCCGATCAATGAGTAACTTATAAGATTCAAGCAAACATACCCTAATACAATGGACAGTAGTTCAACTGATTTATAATTATATATCACTAGGAAATGCACATCAAAATCAACACTTTATACTTGTAAGAAGCTTAAATACCAAAACAATTGGCTTACAATCTCTAATTATGATCCAAGGCTTGTAATGTGATCCAAACTTCCAAACCATATTTACCAAGTCAATTACATGATTCAACAACCGCACCAACCAGAGGTTCACTCACAGTTTCAACGGGCATTCACCAAATCACCACTTAATGACTCCATCGTGTTTTCAAATGACCACTTAACGGAGATAAACTTATGAGAAATTGTGAGACCAACATGCTAATAAGATGGCATTTCAAGTCTATCGTGAATATTTTTAGGCTTTTAATTTTATCACGTTATTCTGTCAATAGGTTAAACTACTACTATATTAACGCATTAGTTGCATGTAAGTTTTCTACTACGAAACCTTTACAAAGCAATTATGTTTAGATAAAGATATTTTTCAATTAGCCCAAAACACAAGTCGGTACCCCATATATCTGAATCATTGAGCCTAAGGACTCCATCAAACCCAAACTTGATGGTCAATATTCTACACTCCAAACCCAACTGTCTCACCCACTTTTGACCGAATCATCACACCCCCCTCCAACGGCTGACCTTACTGCATACTATTTTTGTCCTACCAAAGAACAATCCAACATAAAACACACACATTACAAAAACCAAATGACAGGGATCAAGTGACGAAGTGGAAGTTTGCGTTTTGTTCACCTGCTCCGCGAGCTTGTCAACCTCCATGGACACGTCCAGTATGGCGCGATGTGCAGTCTGGATCTTGGCATTCCTACGCATCTCAACGGCCCTCCTCTCGATGCTCGCTGGGTCCTCCATCAGTACGACTTTTTGAACGGCCTTTGACTCCGCACGTGTCTTGGTACTCGCCGTTTTCGCGCTCTTTTCCTCTGAATAGCAGCCTCTGCTCGCCAGGCTGTAGCCCTGTCTTCGCCGTAAGAGCCTTCAACTCCCCTGTAGAGTTTGGTTTCGGTCAACTCCCTCGTCTATTTACCATCATACCCTCACGGTTCGCCACCACCCTCCACCACCAACATTGCAAGTAGCGAATTCTAATCAGAATAATCCGTGAAGCAGGATGCTATTGTGACGGTATTTTAAAGTCAATTATCGATTGTTATGCTAGTTCAAAGCATGACAATTAGGTCAAAGTACCATCATAGTAATGCTCCACCACCGACATTTCTAATCAACTTTCCCTTCATATTATGCGTAATGTGGTGTCATGGTATCGTTATTACATGTTAATCACTCACAACTATGTTGACAAATTCAAAGCATAACACTAAGTGATTGACTTGGAATTCGACGACAATAACGTTATGTAATGTGTTTTGTTGCGAGAGAATGCGACAATAATTCATAATTTTCCTCCATTTTCTTGGGAGGCAGACAGAAAGCAAAAAACAAAACACAAAATACGAAACGTTAGATAAAGGTCATTTTTACCGAATGTGGACTGAGCGCTGGCCGACATCTCGTAACAGAGAGCGCCGAATGAAATCCGGAGACACAAATTCGGAGCCGGAGCGTCGGATTTCTCTCCTCTTTTCTGGACCAACATTCCTTCGGGCCTCGTTTCCCACGCACCTTCCTCGTCCCTCGACGTCAAGGACTGCGTCATATTATCACTGCTATCCCCCGCTCTGCCTTTCGCATTGGACCTCCACTTCATCATTTTTCCGTTTAGGAAATTCGACTGAAATTATTCGGGAAAATGTCTCAGCTGGCGCGGGATTTTCTCTGGAAAATATCTCTCGACGGCATGAATTAATGCGCTGTTTTCTGTCGATGCTTACAGGATGTCGTGACACGTGACACGTGACCTATGAGGGGAAAATACATGGGAGATTTTTTTACAAATGGGAACGTGACACGTGTCTTGATGACTAACGGTCGAAGGAAGAGAAGTGAAAACAAGGTCCACTTTTCTCGTTTACCGTTGACACGAGGGCAATGGTAATTGGAATTCTTAATATGTGGGGTCTACGGTTTCGTTTTTCATTGGTATACTTAATTAGTGAGATAAAAGCAGAGGTGATTAGGCCTTTGACCAATCGTAATCTTTCTTCGTGACTTTTGAGGGTGGTTCGTCCATCATGTAGCAGTTAGCTAAAAACCGTTAAATTTTTAGAAAAATTAATAAAAATAACTTGAAAATATAGAAATAAAGATAAAGATCACAACATAACAGTTCAACATCATATATAGGTACACAAACGTGTTCATAAAATATACTGCTTGGTCAATAAACAATTGTCATATAATGAAATGGTTACACAAGAAAATATCACCAACGTAAAGACATGTTAGAGTTTAGGAGCAAAAATTGAAATTCATCGGATTTGAAGTTTGTAGGCAAAAACTAATCCTTCTGGATATTGAAATTTATCGGACTTGAAGTTTGTATCCAAAAAGAATATAATCTTATGGGCTTTTAGCCCAAGAAGTAAATAATAAGCCCACGTACAGCAGCGGCCCAATATCTCAACAGGTTTTCATCGGTCAAAACATCAAACCTAATATAACTTTCCCTCTCCGTCCCTAATCAACGATAGCCGGCGATCCGCGCCCCCGCACCGCCAATCTCCAACGGTCATTTCTCCACCGTTTGCTGTTTCTCCACGACGCGTCGTTTTCAGGTCTCTCTCTCTGCTGGAAACTTCGATTTACGACTGCCATAATGTTACACAAGAACATATTGAACTCCAATCAAGCAGTAATTTGTGATTGTTAATTTATTTTTTGTTCGCAATAAGCATGCGACGTGGTTTTTCGTTTTGGTTCCTTTAGATTTATTAGTTTTTTAATTTATTTTTTTCTTAGTAACATATGTATTGGGTTTTGCTTGATTTCTTCAGATATAATTTATTAGCTTCAGGATGAAACATTGACCTTGTTTTGCTTGACTTTTGAAGAATTTGATTTTTGGGTTTTGCGTTTTACGCATTGGTTTCGTGTTTCGTTCGGTGTATTTGATCGATAGGCCTCGGATAAAAGCTTGATAGCTGCTGAATTTACATTCTTTTTGGTTAAATTTTGGAACTTGATAGAGGAAGTTGACTGGAACTTTAATGTGTCTGTGTCACTAAACAGATGGATCTTGAAGCCAAGAGGTTTGGAAGTGGTAAGAAGAAGCTTAGACGATGAGAGGTTTTAAGTTTATCGATCTTTTCCGCTACTTATGTGTTTGATTGCTGTAAGGAGGTTATATTATTGAGGCATGATATCTGATTTTTCACACAGAGATGTTAAGTTTTCTTCCAAGTTTTAACTTTTAAACCATGTTTGTGTTCGTGTGGTGTTTATGTTGTCTTTTGGATGCACAAATGTTATATCTTTGGCATACCCATCGGCGCAGATATATTTTAAACCTTCTTTTCTCAAAATGATGTCTTGGATAGTAATTTCTCACTTCACAATTACTTCCTCCCGTTGGAACGTCGTGAGTTAAGGTTTAGTTGTGGAATTTTGAAGTTTCCAATATTTGCATTTAAAAGTTAAAATGCGTAATGTTCAAAGACCTTTCTGTGTGTGTGCGTGCGCGCACGATATATATATATACTTGTATATGAATATGATATTTATTCATGTTGTGGTAGAGCTTATATTGGTCTCCGTATGCGGTGCATTTTCTGCATGCTGAAGGGTTTAGAGTCTTTAGACTGTCTATTATATGTTTTTTTTTATTATTCATGTGGAGGACTTGTTTGCACTTAGTGTGTAGGTATTCACTATTCAGAGCTTCACGTCTGAAGAGTAGAACGTGAAGTTTAAACGCAGTGATATAGCAATTAGAGCGTTCTTCAATCCATTTGATCCTGAAATGGTCACTTGGGAGAGTACTGAGATGGTCACCACTCAAACATATAAAAACTACGTGCTAATTCTCTTACAGCAATTTCTGTTCAATAATTTGTGTATGATGATTCATACATTTGTAGACACAAATATAAAATAGGTGTCTGTCTAATTTTGACTCCCAATTTGAGAAATAATTCTCTTATAAAAGATATTCGAGATTTAGAATGCTGTTCACTTGCATTTAACAATTTTCGTGTTTCCTAGTTCCTTTGCGCACGCATGCGCGCACACACACACGCACCCGCATCCGCGCACGCACGCACGCACATGCACAATTAATATTGCAGTGTAAAACATGCACACACATACCCGCTAAGATTTCGCTTGTTTTCTTTCTTTTTTCTAGATAATTTTTTTCTAATTGTTCTGTGGGAAACCATCTCTGTGCAGATTCATGGTACTTGAGTCTGTGTCATAGACTAATCTTTTTGTGATGGAATTTTTTGTATTTGTGAATTCTCGTTTGGGAACTATTATTTGCACTCCACAAATTTCATTTTGCAGTCCTCGCAAGTGTATTTTTCTTTCTAAATGTAGATATTTTGGAGTGCAAAATGAGAATTTTGGAGTGCCAATAACAAATCCCTTCTTGTTTATGCATATATCACTGGTAAATAGCTGGCATTAGAATTTCTCTTTCTTACCATTATGAATGATTTTCAGGGTACTTTGTAAAGAAGAGCAAATGCTTCAACCGCAATTATTTTCTTCATCTATGTTTTGATATGTAGTAGTTTAAGCTCTGTGCAGTTCTAGAGTTTGATTGGTGTGCTTGTTGGCAACTTTTAAATAGCAACCTTTGGGTTTTAGTGTTTTCTTGTTCTGCAAATGATATGCTTTCTCTGAATGATATGGTTTTTAGTGTGTTCTTGTTCTCTGAATTATATGATTTCGATTTGCCAATTAAATTATCGTAGCAATCTAGGTGTTTTCTTAAATGTTAAATGATTATCAGGGCCTCGGGAACTTGGCGGTGCTGCTGATCTCATAAATCAGTATAAGCTTTGTCGTCATCATGAATTCTTTTGCAAGAGATCACTGCCTTTGTCAATATCAGAGACTCATTATCTGCAAAATGTGGTGGGAGACACTTTGATCAGGAAAGGGGAAGGGATGGAATTAGATCAGCTCGTTCAGAACAACCTTTGTACGAGAGAAAAAAGTGGACATATACATCCCTTTGATTTGGATATACTTCATGAAGCTTTTCCATTAAGGGAAACAACTCCTGTTAAATTGCCTTCTGTAAGTCATTTCCTACATACGTGTTTGCGTAGTTTGGTCGGTCATTTTCCTTTTCAAGGTGGGTAGAGGGTTTGCTTGGTCGTGTAAATTCTGATATTTAAAGCCACTTTTGTATGGTTTTAACAGGCAGAGAAGGGGATCCGTACCTCGGGGAAGTCAAAAAGTGAGGCTGATAAAAAGGAGAGGAAGCATAAAAAGCACAGAGACAAGGATAGAGATCACAAGAAACACAGAAACCGTCACAAGGACAACAATGGCAATGCTGGTATGAACAAGAATACCGCTCATGACTTGAAAACTGAGCAGTTGAAGGAACAAAAAGATAGGGTAAGAACTTGACAGCCGGATTCCATAATCCTATTTTTTACCCTTAGCTAATATGACAGCACCGGAGATAGTTGTTCATCCAACCTTGTACGAGTTGTGTTAATTTGGCATTTCGAATTTGATGGATATACCGGATTCATTTTTTAACATGAAAAGTAAAGAAAAGGAAGTCTATTGAATTCCACTTATCCTTTGTATCTAAATTTCTGATCCCTATTCTTTTTATCTCTCTACAGTTCATCCAGAAGAGGAGGCTTGCTGGTTTTGAAGATCCTCCCGTCTCCGGACATAAAAAAGCCAGGTAAAGTTGCTTCTGTACCCTTCCTTTCACGAGTCCGTGTTTTCGGCTTACTTTTTTTTTTCCCTTTCCATTTACATTTACTTAATTCTGCCTGGCGTCTCTTCCAACTTTGTCATCCTCAGAATCAAACGCTGAAACACGGTGCGGATTTTAAACTAGCAAAAGTTTTGTAGACCGTGTTTATCATGAATCGCATGTTGCAGACTCACATTGTCCAAATGACAAAATGACAGAAACTGCAACACCCAAAACATTATTGTTTAATTTATTTTTTCCGATCTTGCTTTGTTTAATTTCATGTTCGTAATTTTTCTTGTGGTAGCAATCTTGTTCGTCCTCGTTCGGCATAGAAGATTGGATTGGAATGAATAGCGCTCTAAATTCAAAGCATGTTGAAGGTTAAGGAGAATGGTTTTTTGTTAGGAAAACTAATCAAAAAGACCTCAAACGTTAAATTTGAATCAAAAGTCTAATAACATGTGCGTCTGTCACTTAGTACGACAGTATAGTGATATTCTTCTTCACTAGTAAATGAGAGGTCTTAGGTTCAATTTTTGTCAAAGGCGAATTTGAACCAAATTATTGTTAGTCCATTGTGAGGTTAAGTTCATCTCTTCCTCTTTAGTTTAAATAATATTGTTTGTTAAAAATAAAAGAAAAAAGAATAATACTCATGTCCTTACAGAATTGGATTCTTTTCGGGGCAATGCCTCGGGATCTTGTTGACCGGACAACATAGGCTGTTGGATTTTGATCCAATAACTACAATTATTATAACTTTTAAAGGATCTTCTGTTTGTAGCCGTTGGATCAAAATCTAACAGCCTGTGTCGTCCAGTTAGCAGGATTCCAAGGCATTGCCTCGGATAGGATCCAATTCCCGTCCTTACCACTCTGCCCCCTGCGATTACCCGTGACTCTCTCCCTCCCCCCACCTCCGGGAACATTAAGCGTGCACTCTCAATAAACATACACAAACAAGTTATCAATCAAACAGTTAAATGAATTGAATCCAACATTCATGAAATTCCAACCAAAAGTAATCAATTCATATTGCAAGCATAAACATGGTTTCGAATCACCCCCTAGCTAACTAGGGGGATTTAGCCTCTCATGTTCACAACAAGAAAAATACAATTGAATTTAAACATAAAGAACAAAGGATTGATTACACCTAAAACGCCCAACGAATCCACTTGAATTTCTGCGCGATTTAAATTCCTCTTCCTCCTTTCTTCTTGCTGCGGCTGTTTGAGAGAATATGGTGTGAAGTTGCGGCTGGAATCAAATAAAGTGGCTGGAATGGAGGGCTATATGTTGCGGCTGCTAGAGGAGAATTAGGGTGATTGTGCGGCTGATGGAGGGAATATATGTGGAAGAAGGCTGCACGGTTTTTTGGGGAGAATATGGAGTAGGATAGGAATGCACGGGTTTTGGAATTGAATAATGGGATAATGTAAAAATGGTGGCTGCATAAAAAATATATGGCATGAAATGGGAATTGCGGCTTATGGAATAAAAAAAATGAGAGAATGATGAATGGCCTAGGGTTTTTGGAATGCACGGCAATATGGTGTGAATGTGTATGACGGCTTAAAAAAAAATGGAGAAAAAGGATTGAATGAATAATCGGCTAAGAAGAATAAAATATGAAATATGGTGGCTGAATATTATATTAGGCTTAATGTGTATTAGGGTTGTATAGTTATGGAATGCACGACTTGGGAATTATGGGAGAATTTGGGATAGTTGGCTTGCGGCTTAGGGGGGAAGAATTAGGGTGAATATTAGGTGCGGCTAGGTTGTAAAAAATGTGTAGGATTTCAGAAAACTAACCCTAGCTTATTTAAAATTAAATCAAAGGCTTACCAAAATAGAAAATTAAAACATAAATATAAAGGTGCGGCTAGGAAGGGAAATAGGGCTAGGGCCTTGGTTTTGTGTCCTAAAGTGCATACGAGGCCTATAAAGTGGCTAGAAAATATGGACGTTTAGAATTAGGAAAGGTTACCAAAACGGGAAACTTAGGGTCAACTTTCCTAAAATAGGAAGCCTTGTTTGAGTAGGATTCTTCGTTTTGGTAAGAATTCATCGTTGGCGTAGGAATTCGTCGTTTCTTCAAGTCTTCAACTCATTCATTCCTCTTTCGCTCCAAAAGACTCCAATTTGCATCTTCTTGCACACTTTGACCTTATAATCTGAAAATACACAAAAGTGGCCTTAAACACTAAAACAACTAAGTAAACACAACATAAATGCACGAGAACAAGCTAATTAAGTCGCATGAATATGCTCCTATCAAATTCCCCCACACTTAACTTTTGCTAGTCCTCGAGCAAAACAAAACAACTAAAATAAACAAAACGCAACAAAACAAACAAAACATAACCTAAACCTTCCAACGTTTGCCTCAGGGATTTCCAATGAAACATGACAAGTCAAAAATCATTACTCACATAGCTTTTAGTCTTACTTCCCCTTAAGCACATACTTAATCATAGTCACCATTCACTAGTTCGCATTTAATGAATTAAAACACATTTTGAATGTAGTAACATGCCTTAGAGAATTCCCTCAATTCCTCACTAGTTATGCACTCAATTTTCACTCAGATTTTCTGACTACACACCCTACACTAATTATATGTGAGCAGATTGATGTAACATGAAAGACTAGTACTCACATATGTTATAACAAAGAAAGCAATTTCTAGAGTAATTAAACGTGTTTGGATATGATCTCATGAATGAAATGCTACTACTTAGATGCGAGAACCAGTGACACCATATGCTCATACCAAATTCAAACTCCACAATTGAAATGCACAACACTCAAGATAGAAGTCAAGGGTTGTAACGGGGCTTGGGGTTTTGGCTAACAAGGGAAGGTAAGGATAAACAAACGTTCTTTAAGCAATAATAAGTAAAGTAATGAAATTAAGACCTAGAATTCCCTTAGAATGCAGAAATCAACTTTTAAACAAATAGGGGAGATTCAAACAACTCTTAGGGCCTAATTCATTGTTTTGGGCCCTTACTTCAACAACCAATACTTTTCAACTATTTTCAACTCTTTTTCCACTTTTTTTTTTCTTTTCTTTTTCTTTCTTTCTTTCTTTTTTTTTTTTCTCTTTTTTTTTTTTTTTTTTTTTTTTTTTTTTTTTTTTTTGTTTTAACCGTGCCTATGGCACAAAAACTCACATGAATACACTTTCCCCCACACTTATTTTCTGCACACATTAATCAAAGGGAATTCATTCATGCTTACTATGCTTCAAGAACAAGGGTACGGATGGTCCTAATCTAGGCTAGGTGAAGATAATGTGGGTTAACAAAGAAAGTAGGCTACACAAGGCTCAACGGAGTTAAATCGTACAAAACAAATGAAAAGGGAAATATGGCAATTTGGCTATGGTGTTCACTACACAACTTCATCTTGAATACGTGTTATGCAAATCAATGACATGCTTTGAATGAAATGGGCATGAGTTCTAGCATTTGGAACTAAGTGATGAAATGCCTTCTAAGTAGTAACCAAGCAAAGAATAATGAGATCATGCAACGACTTAAGAAAACATTAATGCACAGATTTTAACTCTCCAAATAACGTTTAGGCTCAAGTCTCACCGGGATGTAGCGTTTGTTTAAGTTCCTTCCTTCAAGCATGTTACAAAAACTGATTTTTATCATTTGTGATTACATGTGAATTCGTAAACTATAACTACAACCAAGCATAAACCAAAGAGTATATCAAACGTCCATCCATGTTTGTAACTTTCTTTAACCGTCATGCAATTAAAAACCAAATCCTCATCATTGTGTTGGAAGGTGACCTACGACACAAACAAACACACAAAAACAACTCTTTTTGGTTTTTCAACACAATTTTTCAAATTTTTATGGTATTTTCGGATTTTTAAGTTAATACATACTAAAACACTCTAAAATAGCTTAAAAACACATAAAAACAGTGGAAAACAAGTTTAAACATGTTAGGTGGTAATACCCTACGAATTTCATGCACAAATATCTCAAAACAGAATGTTACCCCCCCCACACTTAAACTAAACATTGTCCTCAATGTTTTAGACACAATTAAAAACATTACACAAAACATAAAATAAGCAACAAAGGAAAGGGTTTAGGGACGCAAATCTGAGTGTGGAGCGATTCCCGAGTTCTTCCTTTGTTGATTGCATGGGTTGCCTCCCACGAAGCGCTTGCTTTAACGTCTTCCATATATCCCTGCGCCAAAGAATCAATTACATCAATGGAGAAACATGAGTGATCCTCACTAGGATACTTAATAGAATCTGAAAGACTAAAATTAACAACTTCCCCATCAAATTCCATGGACAATGTTCCATTAAACACGTCAATCTTCGTCCTCGCCGTCTTCATGAATGGCCGGCCTAGTAGGATTGGCAACGAAGGGGCATGGTCAGATTCATCCATCTCGAGCACATAGAAGTCCGCCGGAAAGATTAAACCTTTTACCTGCACTAACACATCTTCCAAAACTCCCTTTGGATAAGCGTTAGATCTATCGACCAATTGTATTATTACACCATCATTTTTCAATGCTCCTAAATTCATAGATGCATAAATGGAATATGGCATAACATTTATAGAAGCACCTAAATCAAGCATGGCAGATTCAAATCTAGTATTCCCAATGACACAAGGAATGGTAAAACTACCTGGATCCTTGCATTTGGGAGGTAGTTTGCGTTGCAAGATGGCAGAGACATTTTCACCTACCTTTACCACTTCCTTGGTTGACATCCTCTTCCTTGTGGTGCAAAGCTCCTTTAAAAACTTGGCATACCTCGGGACTTGCTTTATTGCATCCAAAAGGGGTATGTTTACTTGCACTTTCCGAAACGTCTCAAGGATGTCCTTTTCGGCTTCTTCTTTCTTCGTTTGCCTGAACCTACTAGGAAAAGGAACATTTGAAGGGAAATCATTAGTAGGAACTGAATTTAACACATTTTTACCTTTATTGGCCGAATTGGGCAGATTTGGGACCATTGAGACTTGCGGCAAAGGTATGTCCACCTTTGCCGTGGGCAACCTTGTTTCTTCCTCTTCAATTCTTCGTTTTTCATCCTCTTCGGGGCTTGATGATGATGGTGTAGGACCTGCCCCGACTTCTTTTCCACTTCTCAAAAGTATGGCCTTTGCGCTTTCGAAACCTCCTTTCGGATTTGGAATGGTGGAACTAGGGAGTTGTCCGGGATCTCGAAACTTACCTACAAACTCGGCAATCTGCCCAATTTGTTTCTCAAGTTGAT